ATTCTTTATAAAAGAAGCTATCAGGTGGTCCCTGGCAGTGGGAATCAGGAGCTCCTTCCAGAGATAATGTGTGAGCTGGAAGTCCCTCACTCTTGACAGCAATACTCCAGGGGTGCAGTCCAGGAAGTACACATGCAACTCAGGAGTTTCCTTTCCTGCCATCCGGCTGATGCCATCCCTCAGAGAGAGCTAAGGACAACAGGTTGATTATAATGTGGCTTAGTGTAATCCTTTTTGATGGAATTTTGGGAAATCTTTGAATCTCCTGAACCGCACTTGAATTTTTATGTCTTTCTCCAAATGTGGCAGCTTTTTGGCTGTTGTTTCCTCTCCTCCTCCTCCTCCTCCTCCTCCCTCTCCTTCTTCTTCCTCTTCCTTTTCCTCCTCTTCTCCCTCCTCCTCCCTCTCTCTCTCCTCTCCTCTTCTCTCTTCCTTTCTCCTCTCTCTTTCTTTCTCTCTCTCTCTCTCTCTCTCTCTCTCTCTCTCTCTCTCTCTTTCCCTGGCATTTTGGACAGGGTCTCACTCTGCAATCCAGACTGGCCTGGAACTCACAGTGACCCCCCATCTCACCTTCCCAAGTGCTGGGATCACAGACACACACCAGCCTGCTCAGCTTGACTGTTATTTTTTTTTTAAATAAGCCTCCTGGCCATCATTGTTTTTTGCTTATATTTCTTTAATTCCTGTGATGTAAACTTTTGTTTCTTCTTATCACATAAACCCTGTGAGTTTGTCTCACTCCTGTTCATTATTTTTCTTTCTTCAACTGAGATTCTATATTTTCAAGTAACCTGTCCCAGAATTCATAGACTCTTCATATCCTTTATTAATTCTGGTGTTACTGTTTTCTCTATAACCTTTTTTATTTTATTCTTTCCATTTTTTATTCCAACATTTTGGTTGGTTCTTCTCTCTGATTTCTTTCTGTTAAAATTCTTCATTTTTTGATTCCAGTGAATCATCTCTTTGTTTTCCTCTAATGAGATTCCCTGAGTTTCCTTAGATAAATTATGCTGAATTTTTAGATGGGGAGAATATAGATTTTTTTTCTTTAAAGACAGTTATTAGGAATTTGTTTTTTTATTGGAGATCTATTTCTTTGCTTTTCCCCCTTCATTTTCAATTCATGTTTCTTACGTATTTATGTTGACATCTACACATTGGAGGGAATGGTTCTTCCTAACTTCCCAGTCTGGCTTCAGTGGGGAAAGACTTTTCACTGTGGACCATCGTGAGCACTGAGTCAGGGAGATGGGTTGGTTCCTACTGGATGGGGTCAGTGGCATCGACTGTGCTGTTCTCTCAGGTGCAGTCAGGGTGGAGAGCACGGCAGGGCCATCACGGTGAATAATGTGTGAGTGACCAGGACAGCTCTGAGGGTCACAAAGTGTTCAGGGGCCAAGTTCCCTGTAGGTCTCACACTGTGCCCGAACTGGTGAGTAAAATGGATAATGAAACACCAATATACTATTATTTGGGATAAAAAGATGGCAAATGTTTACATTTTTAAAATTATACAGTAAAACACACATTAGCATCAATCCCCTCAAAATACCGGAAATACTTCCCCTCCTCTAGAGGACATTTATCCCACTTTAATTTTTTTAATTTATACATTTACCACTTTTTGATCACATCTCATAATGTCTCTCTTCCAAGGGAAAGTCCAATTCACTTAATGCCTCCAAAAACTGTTCTGATTACCAAGATGAATGTCTCCATTGAATAATGGATAAGAACTAAAAGCACAGAATGTTTCCTTGGAGCTCAAGATGAAATGCACTTGAGATGCTATTAAAGAAGGCACTAAACAGATTATGCTAACTAAACCTATGACTGCAAAGTATTTACAATTTTGTATTAAATTCAGTAATTTCACTAACATTGCACATAATATTCAAAATGGATGAAACCATAGATTTAATATTTAACGCTATGGTGTGGTTTGTTATCTCCAAATATAAGACTAGATCAAATTGAGCTTCAAAATGGAGAAGTGGAAATATCACACATTTCCAAATAGATCTGATTTAATTTATACTTTTATTAGTACATGTTTGCAGTCCATAAGATTATATTCCTTGTGGGGAGTTGGGTCATGTGCATAACATATGTTAATTCCTTTTTCCTCCCATCACAATCTTTATGCAAATGACAAATGAGGTCATTCACATTTGAGCAGGTCCAAAAATGGATGTCATTGGTTATTAGATTCCAATTATGCTTAACATAGTAAATGGAAGTGAGATGTTAGTCTTTCTGTCCTTTTCTATGGTAGCTGAACCATATTAGATCATATTTTTTCACCCAACTTATTTCATTGTAAGGGCTTAAGTCTCCCAGAGCACCAAATTTTACTGCATTATTTGAACATGATTGATTAAACTGCTATGCTTTCTCCTGGGAACACTGTAGCAACCCTGGTAAAAGCTGAACTCCTGCTTCTTTACCTCTTGTCAAGACATTGATTAACGCAAGGATTTCCCAAAACGTACTCAACAGTATGCTTCATGGCTGTTTCAAGTTCTTGGGAAAGCAGAAGCAATAAGCTTGGAATACACCATTCTTCATTCTTCCCGTGTCTGTGTCATTGTCCGTCCTGTCCCTTCCACTTCTGAAACGGTCTGTTTCACGTCCCAGTTAGAAATACGGTGATCGTACATGCTGCTGTTTCATTCAACACTTCTCCAGTCTTCTCCCTCAATCCCACGCCAAACAGGCTTTTCAGTCAATTTACAGATGGATAATCCACTTAGCATGCTCTTTTGGTTGAAGTATTTCATAGTGAATATATGTGTCTACACTCCCGAGTGGCCAGTACACAGACTGGCATGAATACATTTGCGTTATTAACTCTATTAAGATTGTTAAGATGGTGGGTGTTCAACAAAGAGTGAAAATAAACAACAGTTCAGATATTTATCTATTAATGTGGGTCATGTATATGATAATTATTCTTTCTGCAAAAAAACCCAGTTTAGACAATACTTTAAAAATCAGGATATAGGGCTGATGATTTAGCTCAGTGGTTCTGCCGCCTGCCTCGCAAGCACAAGAACCCGAGTTCGATCCATGGTACAAAAAAATAAATAAATAAAATAAAAAGGATATATTTATTTTTGGAAAAACTTGCACATTATTATTTAGAGTAGTAAGAGTGGATTTGTATGCATTCCAAAATATTCTCCATACTTACTGTTACAGTGCTCTACCCTTTCCCAAGGCTGATTTACAATCCTAGCCAACAATTTTTGAGGTGCTTTCACTAGTACCAAGACCTAAGTACTATATTCTCGTTCTTCTGCACATAAAGATATCTCTACTCTCCCTTCCATGAAAGGCTCTGTAAATTCCATTTGAGTCTGCTTTCTCTGAACAAGAGTGAGGCACATTACATTTCAAAGAATAAAATATGAACATGTTATGATGTTTTACAGCCCGAGTTTTGTCTTCAGTTTCATCATGACACAGATGTTTTTGGTGACAACAGTAAATAATTAAAGTTCAACCTGTGCTAAATAAGTTCATGTATTCACAAGGGAAAATATAGAACCTTAGATATAATTACTGACATCGTTGCAAAACACCAAAGCCTGAGGGAAACAGCTTTAGAGAGCTTCAGTCCCAAATACACCTGATATAATAATGTGCTCTGTACTTGGTTTTCTAATACCAAAAAACCCTGCTCATTTCAGGTAAGTTCTTGAATTATCAAAATAAATGAAAGGTTAAACTTATCATATGGAAAAAGATTTATAAATGAATAATTTTATGCCAATTAAGTTAAATTTTGAAATCCTATGATCTAAAACAACAATTTATGCTCAGAATTGGAAAACGCCAGCTGAAATTATATTCCACCAAGCAGTGTTTTAATTATTGTATTTCAATCTATGCTCATACATGTGTTTACTCATCATTCTGTAAGTACACTCATTCCTTTGATGTTATTTTTTCTTTGTGTTAACTAATTTAAAGAACTGAAATGATAGTTGCACATAACAATATGTAAAACTTAACTCCATATGGAGCACATACTATAATTTTCTAGGCAAAAAATAACAAATAAATATATAAAAAAGGCACCAATAAAAAGCAACCAATCATTTCCTGTATTCTAATTCTCACATCAGTAGAGATTCATATGAACAAATGCAGGAAATCATACACATATACCGAAGAGAGTGAGGACTAAACACCACAAAACTGTCTATCGTCCCTCATAGCTTTTTCACTTTTTCAAATAAAAGTCCATTTAAAGTCAGGTATGATGTAAATTCATATCTATAGTATTATGCTTAAATTTCTTCTTAAGCATTTCTCTTTTAATTGTCAGGATCATGCTGCAGACTGCCCCTGGGAATAGGACCTTGGGGCAAAATGATAATATGAATCTCAGGCAAAAAGTCAATAATATGCACAATTTGTCTCGTGTCTTATCAAAGTCAAAGAATATACTGATTAGAAACTGTAGAATATAATTCGTTTTGTATTATTCTATGACATAGTTGTCCCAGAACTACTACAATGTTTTGTGAGTCAATTGCGATCTTTGAGAAACATAGTAATTGGCATTATTTTGTGTCAATGTTAGTGTTTCCAAAAATACTAACTGCTTAGTCCTGCATCTTGCTGCTTAGTAATCCTGAGAATTATGTTTCTTCCTCATGAATTTGAAAATGCATTGAGACTTTGGCCCATTAAAACTAGACTTCCTGAAGGTACAGAGGCATTAAAGAACATGTGTAAAGTGATATCCCTTATGAATGGAGTCTAGATTCCAACTGAAAGTTTTTTGATTGATGTCTAAGGATTTTAAAGTATTGCCAATAAATGGAATGCTTTTGAAAAAATGACGCATGACTGGATAATTTTCTGTAGTTAAGAAACAAAATTAAAGGTGAAGAAAGTGATCTACCCTGGAGATGATTTAGGGATGTGCAGAAAAATTAAACGTGTGTCTATCTTAACAATTTTTTCTAGGTTTCAAGAGTATAAAAAAGGGAATGGACAGAGGAAACTGCTCCTCCTTGAGAGAATTTATTTTCCTGGGAATCACTAATAACGCTGATATGAAAGTGACCCTTTTCACCGTGTTTCTACTTGTTTACCTCATTAATTTCCTGGGGAACACTGGGATGATCATATTAATTAGAATGGATTCCAGCCTTCACACACCCATGTACTTTTTCCTCAGCAACCTCTCTTTCTCTGATCTCTGCTGCTCCACTGCAGTTGGCCCCAAGATGCTGGTGGACCTGCTCGCCAACAACAAATCCATTTCCTTTGTTGGCTGTGCTCTGCAGTTCTTCACCTTAATCATGTTTGTGGACTCGGAGTGCATGCTGCTGGCGGTGATGGCCTTTGACCGGTACAAGGCCATCAGCAGCCCCCTGCTGTACACGGCCCACATGTCCACCAAGGTGTGTTCACGGTTCCAGTCTTGGATTTACCTGGTGGCACTGGCAGATGCTTTGATAAACACAGTACTCGCCTTCCGCCTGTGTTTCTGTGGGTCTAATGAGATGAATCATTTCTTCTGTGATGCCCCTGCTCTCCTTTTGCTGTCTTGCTCAGAGACACAGGTCAATGAATGGGTGATATTTATCATTTTTGGGTTCATTGAACTGAGCACCATCTCAGGAGTCCTCATCTCCTATTGCTACATCATCTTATCCGTCTTAAAGATCCGCTCTGCCGAGGGGAGGTTCAAAGCTTTCTCCACCTGCACCTCCCACCTCACTGCAGTCGCCATTTTCCAGGGAACCATGCTCTTCATGTACTTCCGGCCCAGTTCTTCCTATTCCTTGGATCAGGACAAAATGACCTCACTGTTTTACACCCTGGTGAGTCCCATGCTGAACCCGCTGATTTACAGCCTGCGGAACAAGGACGTGAAGGAGGCTGTGCAAAAGCTCAGAAGTAAAAGGTGGTTTTGAGCAATTTTCTTATATGTGCTTACTTGTATATTCACAGCTATTATCCTTTATGTCACTCTACCTTATTTGTCTTGAATAAAGGTGTGCTACTTGCTAGGCAGAGAAATTTTGCTAACATTTTTAAGTGTGCCAAAAGTTTACTTCTTTCTTCCATTCATTTTATTTATAGTTATTTATAGTTATTTATAGTTAAATTATTTACATGTTTTTTATATATTTCCGTGGTTTTTAACCTTGCCAAATCTACTAGTTTATTCACATGTGAATCTTATGTTTCAGTAGAACACAAAAATTAATGGAGAATTAATTCATATTACCCCAAAAGTCTCATAAATATATCATTGATTATTTGCAGAGTAAAATTTGCAAATCTTATAAGCAGAACAAAGGCTTAGCTTCATGAAGGTATAAAAAATATGCTTGTTTTAGAGACCAGAGGAATCTAGACAGAGCTTTTTTTCCTCCATAAAGAATGGAAACCTTTATTTTTAAAATTTTTTTCAATCATTAATTTTATTGGTACATTTTAGGTATACAATACACTGATATTCATTATTGAGAATTCTCACCATTACATAATCTCTTGGTTCTTATTTTTCCCAGTCCCCTGCCCCTTCAACCACACCACCCACCCCTCCCTATTCACCAATACCTTGTTTCCATTTTTTCTTTTTCTCATATTTATTCCTTTCCATTTTTTCCATTTCTCTACCCCTCTCACTTCCCGTTCCCCCTTTGGATCTTTTCTTCCTACTTCACATCGTCTGTTTTGCACTTTGATCCTCATTTCCACTTTAAACTTACAATGACAGCATCAAGCTGCATGTGAAAATCTTACTGCTGTGGTTTTACTGCCATGTGATTCGATGATGACGTCACCAAATACTTTATCACCTGTGAGTAAACATAATTATTTTGAAATAAGGAAATGGTTAAATTAGCATTTCCCCATACTTTGTCAGGGTCCACAAATGAGTCCAGTGTCCAAATTGAAGCGGCGCATAGAGAAGTGAAACCTCAGTGTAGCTGTGCCTTTTGAGAACGTTGAGAGCTCCTGTCACCTGCAAAGCTGCAGCTTCGCAAACGGCCTCTCCCTGTGGCCCAGGGCCTGCTGCCCAAATCACAGCCCTTACTGACTCTTGTCTGGTGACAAGCCGTTATTACTGAAGTATCCACACCACTAGTCATTTCTAAAATTTTATTTCTTAATTATTATTAGCTTTTCACAATTAGGAACAAAGTCATATAAGGCCCCAAAGGTTCCCTCCTTTCCAGACAGCCTTCCTACTTCCATCACTGCATAGTGGCAAGTACATAACTCAGTAATGATAGCCACAAACAATAGATCCACTCACTTGAGCGTTTCAAAGGGACGAGTAGCAGTCATCGTCTAAACTAACAAAATTACTACTGAGCTCTGTGATGCAAAGTATGGCTTCCTTTAAACATAAAACTTCCTTTAAAAATGAACAGTAGATTTCATCCCCAGGAAAAAAAACAAAGAGAAAAATGTCTGGAAATTATAGCAGTCCAAGCAGTACTCCTGTGACCATTTATAAACCTGCAGCAACATGGTAGAACTAAGCATAAATACATAAGCAAAAATGGAGGCAGACCTCACAGAAAGATGCACTGTGAACTCGGGACCCTTGCGGTGTCTGCAGATGGCAGACACAGAGGAGGAGGCTGGGCGCTATCTTGATCCACCACAGGTTGGGCACCGTGTTCCCCCCCAGAAAGGTGCCTCTGCACAGAGCACTGGCATCTCTGCCCTCTGAGAGCCGAACAGAGAGCCTCGCTGTGGACCCCAGCAGCAGGAGTCACCTCTGCCCCTCTGTCAGGAAGGGGCTGCTGTTCTGCCTTCCAGGAGCAGAGATGCCGTTTCCTTCTTCAGATGCACATGTGCCCTGCCTGCAGAGCTGCGGCTTTCTCATGAACATCCTCCTTCCAGACCCCAGCTCCACAGCCAGCCTGGGGCCTCCCTTGCCAGAGATACCAGAAACACCCAGTAGCAAGGCAGTGTGCAGGCTGGGCCCTGGCTTTGCAGCTGCATTGCAATCTCTGCAGTCCAAAGTCCCCCGTGAGTGTGTGTGTGTGTGTGTGTGTGTGTGTGTGTGTGTGCGCGTGTGTGTGTGGTGGTGTGTGTGTGTTGGTGTGTGCGTGTGTGTGTGTGGTGGTGTGCATGCACACTTTGGACAACGGATGCCATTTTTGAAAGTAATCTTCCAATGCTCATGTTAAAACCTCATTCCTCTTCTGATGTTATTAAGAAGCTGGGTCAGGCCAGGGATTTAATTCAGTGATTCTGTGGCCTCCCTTATAAGTGCAAGGACTCGAGTTCAATCCCCGGTACCAAAAAAAAGAAGCTGGGCATTTTGGAAAAGTATTTAGTTATAAGAACTTTGACTTCATGAACTCACAGTGTCCTTATAAAGAAGGTAAAACATCTCCCTGGCTCTCGCGCTGTGTGAGAACACAGCCTTTGCCAATTCTAGGGCCTTTGAAGGACACTAAAAAGACTAAAAAGACACCATCCCTGATAAGCCTCCTCCAGCGACTGCTGGTGACATGGTCTTGCACTTCCCAACCTCTGGATTGTGACACTAAATTTATGTGTTTATCAGTGTCCCTGTCTAAGGCATTTTGTTATAGCAGCAGTAACAGACAGCACTCAGCAGCCCTCATGCCGCACACCATGGCCAGTGATGGAAGCAGGGAAACTGTCCTGGATGCTGGTGCCATGGGCACCCTGAACCCCAGGTCTGGGGGCTCTGCTTGGTCACTGCTTAGGCACTGCCTGTCAGTCCTGGGATCCCTCCCACCTTAGTGTGCCCAGAGTGACACTTGGTGCCTGGAGTGACCCCCTTGAGCATGAATTCACCTCTAGGGGAAAAGGGAATGGAAAACTATGGAGCGATGACACCTACAGCCCTCACTGTTGCCCACAGGGCTGATCCTGGGGATCCCTGAAGTGTCTGCCAATGCTGATTCAAACCCATAGAGCTTCGCAGAGGCCATCATGCCTCCCCAGTGCAGGAAGAGTCACTCTCCCGGCTCAGACAGGGCCTTCACACTGTTCCCAGGAGAAAGACTTTCCACACTGAAGCCAGGCAAAGCAAGCTAGAAAGCGACCACTTCATCAAATGTACAGAAATCAGAGAAGTAAGACAAAAGCCATACACACAGAGTGAAGAAAATGTATGTCCACTGAAGAGCAGAATGATGTTAAAGTGACTTGTCTCCACAGAAAAGGACATCTGGGGTTGGCCTGACACATAATTAAGCAAGTGTCTTTCAGAATGTTAGTGAAAAGTACCAATAGGCTTAATGAGAAGAAAACAAGAATGCCAGTGAACGCCAAAAATATATGAAGATTTTCACAAAATCAGGAAATTGATAAGTGAACAAATGAAGAACTTTAAGGGAAACCAAATAATACAATAGCTGAAAAACACAACAGAAACAGTCACACAGAGGAGTAAATCTGTGACCCTAAAGCGAGTTGTTTGAAAATATACAACCAAAGAGGAAAAATGATGAGAAGGAATGAAGAAAGCCTATAAGATTCACGAGAGAGCATCAAGATAGCTAAATTTATCTCACAGGAGCTAAAGAAGGAAGGAGAAAGAGAGGGGAAATTTAGATAAAAATTAATGAGCAGAAAGTGACCAAATAGAGTCAAAAATATAAATATGCAAGTGCAGAAAGCTAAAATATGTCTAGTAAGGTTCAATCCGAAGACAGCTACACAAGTGCATGTTTTATCCAAACTGTTAACCTATCGCCAAGGGAGTGATGTCAGGAACATTTCAAAACAGCTGCCTAACCCTCTCATTTCCCATGGGCACACAGCTGCATACCCATTGTTAGATCATTTGCCTTGAAGGAAAATCAGAGACCCATGGAGAGGCTCCAGCCCACCAGGAAATTGAGAAAAAAGCATATCAAATGATTAACAAAACATGAGGTGCATTCTGTGGTGGAACCTGACCTGGCAGTGTTATATGAGAGCAGGGAAGACATTCCTAACCCTCAGCTTCTCTGTAGGGGGAGAAAGATTCTGACCTCCTAGGGGAGCGGGATGGTCCAGAGCAGTCCCAGTTCCAGTAGCCTCTGCATACGATCCTGGAGTCCAGCCTGTGCTTGAATATCGATATTTTTCCACTTCATTCTCTCAGCTGAATACGGACAGCAGCAGGTGATCATTCATTCTTAGGGTCACCACAAATGCTGAATCGGTATGAAAGCCCAGCGCCGCCTGCTACATCCAGACTTGGAGGTGCTCATGGGATATTACACATGCTTACTTCCAGAAGCATCAAAAATACCAATCTGGACAAACAAAAGGACCCGAGAAGCACTACAAAGTCTCTGGACTGATGGCTTGGTGAGCCACTTCACTGAGGATCAGGATCAGCAGCTGAGAGAGACCGCTGATTTATCCAATGCAGAGAACCAACAAAAGAATCAAGGAAAGGGAAAATAGGCACATTGATTTCAAATGTTAATAAAAAGATTAATCTCCAGAAACTGACAATATGGAGTGACATATGTGATTCATCTGTCCTGGAATTCAAACTAATGGTCATGAAAATGCTCAGAGTTCCAGAGATCAATGCAGAAATAAACTGGAATTTTCAACGAAGAAAAGGCACAAAAGTCACAGATAGAATTATTAGAGTAGAGTGATTTTTACTGATGAACTTAAAATTCAATAGGGGAATTTAATAGAAAATGAGATCACTCAAAAATAGTTACCTGAGAACCTAAAGAGAGTTAAACAGAAACTGTACAATCTGAGAAGAAAAAGTAAAAAAAAAAAAAAATAGAGGATGATTTAAGAGACTCAGAACAACAGCAGGCATAACTACATGAGCCAAAAGAAAAAGAGACAAAGAAAAGGACAGGCATTATTAAAAAATAAAACAAATCATTTCAAACCACAGGCAAGGACTAGAAAAAATTCAAAAAGATCTCCCTGGGGACACACCAAACTAGGA